GAATACAACAATAAATACCATACGAAAAACCACTGCAAAGTAGCTGATTTATTAAAAAAAAATGGTTCAAAGTTTTTTTTTTCTCATTTTGCACTGTGTGCTGCAGGATTTGTTTTTAGACTGTGCAACACTCACCACATAAACCTCATTCATTCATATGAAGGCCTACCAGCTTTCTCCCCTAGATTTGAGGCCGCTGAATTTATGAGTTACTAGTACGTCCAAAAACCCCTACGCTAAGACGTACTAGTACACGTAAAACCCTCAAAGGGTTTAACAATTCTCAAAATATCCCTTCCATCTTCCAAATACCTCTAACTCTCCAATTTAAATAAGCTCTCCCTCTCCTATTTTTTAAAACTGACAAATCCATTTGTTCTCTAGCTTTCTCTCTTAACTTTTGTTAATCTCACTCCAAAACTTTTCTATTTTCAACAAAATTTGTTGATAAATCTCACCCACGTCTCATCATGCTCTCTTTTTACATTGCTATCACCACTACTCTTAACCTCTCTTTTTCTCCATATACTCTTCCCTCCTTGCATCATATATATATATATATATATATATATATATATATATATATATATATATTCTATATTATAGATATAGATATACAGTGGACCCCCGGTTAACGATATTTTTTTCACTCCAGAAGTGTGTTCAGGTGTGACAGGACTGACCGAATTTGTTCCCATAAGTGAATATTGTGAAGTAATTAGTCCATTTCAGAACCCCTCAAACATACACGTACAGAAACGCCTTACATAAATACACTGTACATAATTGGTCGCATTCGGAGGTGAAACCGTTATGCGGGGTCCAACTTGTTGAAAAAAAAAAAAAAAAAAATATAAACACACAACCACACACACACACACCACACACACACACACACACACACACACACACCACACCAACACACACCACACACACACACACACACACACACACACCAGGAGCTCGGAACTCGACCCCCCGCAACCCAACTAGTTGAGTACATGATGGAGGACCAGGAAGGACTTCAAAGAGACCTGACAGACTGACACCTGTCCAGCAAAATGAGCTTCTCGAATTTAATCTGCCAAATGCAAATCTTGATGATAGGGAAAGGGCATCAGGAAGCACCACAGGGACAGAGTATAGGCTAGGTGGCCAAAGCATGCAAACCCACTCAAGGAGAAAGAATCTTGGGGTGAGTATAACACCGAGCATGTCTTCCGGAAGCACACATCCATCAGATAACTGCTGCAGCATATGGGCGCCTGGCAAGCCCGGACGACAGCATTCCGATACCTAGTAGGAATCATTCAGACATGACTGTACACCGTGTATGTCAGGCCCATACCTGGAGTAAGCCAGCACCTGTTGGAACCCGCCACTTGATAAAGCACGTCAAGAAACTAGAGAAGTACAAAGGTTTGCCACAAGGTTAGTTCCCAGAGCTAAGGGGAATTCCTTTGGAAGAAAGAATAAGGCGGAAATCGGACCTGACTACACCTCGGAGGACAGAGTCAGGGGAGACCATGCATACACGACCAATATAAAAAACCTTGCGTGGAATAGACAGGTGGACCAAAGACAGGAATGTACCAGGAGGGGACACAGAATAAGAGGCCGACATTGGGAAGTTGAAGAACACAAATGAGTCAGAGAGATATTTAGGAAGTATTTCTTCAGTCATGGAGGTTGTAAGGCAGTGGAATAGCCTAGAAAATGACGTATGTGAGGCAGGAACACATACACAGTTTTAAGATGAGTTTGATAAATCTCATGAGCGGGAGAGAGAGGGCCCAGTAGCACCGTGAAGAGGCGGGCCAAGGAGCTAAGAACTCGACCGCCTGCAACCACAAATAGGTGAGGTAATAGTGAGTTACACACACACACATTTTATATGGCCCTAGGTAGTAGTGTTGTGTAAATAGCAGCCGCCCAGCGGGTACTACCATCCTCCCAAGTGAGTGTAACAATGAAAACCTGTAATTGTTTTTACATGCATGGTAGGATTGCTGGTGTCCTTTTGTCTGTCTCATAAACATCACGATCTATTCAGGTAAGTCTTGCTACAGCTACTTGCACTTAGGTCACACTACACCTACTTGTTCAAGCATAAACATATATAGACACACCCCCCTCGGGTATTCTTCTATTTTCTTTCTATTCTTGTTCTTGTTTATTTGGCCTCTTATCTTCCATGGGGAAATGGTGCAGAAATTCTTCCCTCCCGGTAAGCCATACGTGTTGTAAGAGGCGACTAAAATCCGGGAGCAAGGGGCTAGTTACTCCCTTCTCCCATATAAATTACTAAATTTAAAAGAGAAACTTTCGTTTTTCTTCTTGCCACCCTGCCTCGGTGGGATATGGGCCAGTGCTGTTGAAAGAAAGAAGAAAGATATATATATTCTGTATAGTATGTGAGTTAGTGTGACCTAAGTAGAAGTAGCAAGACGTACCTGAAATCTGCATGTTTATGAAATCAGAAAAAAGACACCAGCAATCCTACCAACATGTACAACAATTACAGGCTGGTTGTTTTACACTCACCTGGCAGGATGTAGTACCTCCCTGGGTGGTTGCAGTCTACCAACCTACTGACCTATAATAAAACTATATATATATATTAATTTATATATATATATATATATATATATAATACTATATAATATATATATATAATATATACTATATATATATAATAATATATATATTTTATTTTATTTTTTCAACAAGTCGGCCATCTCTCCACCAAGGCAGGGTGACCCAAAAAGAAAGAAATCCCCAAAAAGAAAATACGTCATCACATCAACACTTTCACGCTCACTCACACCATAATCACTGTTTTGTTGCAGAGGGTGCTCCAGAAACAAAACAGTCTAGAAGCATAGGCACCTACCATCCGACATACGACCTGCTCGACTTACACCACTCGACTTACGACCCGTGTTTTTTATGCAAAATTTATGGGAAATAAACCAACTATTTCTGTTGTACACAGTAGTTTATATCCTGAACCTTCAGTATATAAAATACAGTACTAACACCTTCCACAGTAAAGTAAAAGCATGAAAAACCAAAATAATACAATAAAATAAAGTCATTACAAAATGTTTGATTGATAGTAGTAAAGTTCGACTTATGACCATTTCGACTTGCAACCTTTTTCTCGGAACCGAACTCGGTTGTAAGTCGGATGGTAGGCTGTACATAAACAGATACAGAAACATACCCACCAAACTGCTATTATCTCTCTCAAAACCCCCCATAGCAGTGCAGCATAGTACTTCCCATTTCCAGGACTCAGTCCGGCTATAAAAAATATATATAATACAGTGGACCCCTGCATACCATTGGCATCACATAACGATAAATTCCGCGATACCGATACATTTTTATCGCTAAGATTTTGCCGATCTTAAAAAATATATGTTTTTATTAATAGTTTTTATATATCTAAAAAGCCTGCTCAACTCTATTCATCCCGAGACGTGTCTAATGGTGGCGGCCTGAGCCAGCCTCACAGTTCCGACGGTGGCATTGTATTACCAGCCACCTCCGCGGTAACATCCAAAGCATACAATCGGAACATTTTGTATTATTACAGTGTTTTTGGTGATTTTATTTGCAAAATAAGTGACCATGGGCCCCAAGAAAGCTTCTAGTGCCAACCCTGTGGTAAAAAGGGTGAGAAATATTATCGAAATACTGTGGTACCATGATCAACTGCTGATGCTGCTGCTGCTGTAGCACTGTCAGCTGCTGCTGCTGCTGTAGCACTGTCAGCTGCTGCTGCTGCTGCTGTACCACCTCAGCTGCTGCTGCTGCTGTAGTACCATCTGCTGCTGCTGTAGCACCGTCTGCTGCTGCTGTAGCACTGTCAGCTGCTGCTGCTGCACTGTCAGCTGCTGCTGCTGCTGTAGCACTGTCAGCTGCTGCTGCTGCTGTAGCACCGTCAGCTACTGCTGCTGCTGTACTACCATCAGCTGCTGCTGCTGTTGTAGTACCGTCTGCTGCTGCTGTAGCACTGTCTGCTGCTGCTGTAGCACTGTCAGCTGCTGCTGCTGCACTGTAAGCTGCTGCTGCTGCTGCTGTAGCACTGTCAGCTGCTGCTGCTGCTGTAGCACCGTCAGCTGCTGCTGCTGCTGCTGCTGTACCACCGTCAGCTGCTGCTGTAGTACCGTCTGCTGCTGCTGTAGTACCGTCTGCTGCTGCTGTAGCACCATCTGCTGCTGCTGTAGCACTGTCAGCTGCTGCTGTAGCACTCAGCTGCTGCTGCTGCTGCTGCTGCTGTAGCACCATTGTCGGTGTGGCTTATTGAGAATACCAAGAAGCAATTAACCCCAGAGGGTTAGCTACACAGGATAACCCAAAAAAGTCAGTGTCATCGAAGACTGTCTAACTTATTTCCATTGGGGTCCTTAATCTTGTCTCCCAGGATGCAACCCACACCAGTCGACTAACACCCAGGTGAACAGGGAGAAATGCCTGGAATTAGTGCTCATATTGGTGAATTTAAAGCCAGCAAAGGTTGGTTTGAGAGATTTAAGAATCGTAGTGGCATACACAGTGTGATAAGGCCTGTTCTGGAAGAAAATGCCAAACAGGACCTACAGTACTCAGGAGGAAAAGGCACTCCCAGGACACAGTGTCTCATCAGTCATTGCTGCATCTTCAATAAAGGTAAGTGTCATTTATTCTTCATTTAGTAGAGTAGTACATGCACAATATATATTGTGCATGTACTACTCTACTATTGTGCATGTATCCTTCTCTTTGTGTGTAGGAAAATGTATATTTCATGTGGTAAATTTTTTTTTTCATATTTTTGGGTGTCTTGCACGGATTAATTTGATTTCCATTATTTCTTATGGGGAAAATTCATTCGCGTAACGATAATTTCGCATAACAATGAGCTCTCAGGAACGGATTAATATCGTTATGCGGGGGTCCACTGTATTATGAAAAAAGATGATGTATAGTGTGAACCATGTTTGTTTCTGCAGGAAGTGCCTTCCGTATCCCAGAGGATGAAGCTCCACTCCCCAAGATACCTGCACAGTGTATCAGCTACGAGGATGCTTGGCAGATACTCAGGTAAATGGTTAAATTAAATTCAAATTCAAATTCAAAGTTTATTCTCTATAAGGATTACAATGCTGAGTTTGCAGAATTTGGTTATTGTGTGGTTTACATGTAGTAAAATAATAATTACAGAGTGTACCACTAGAACACCTAGCATGGCTAGGCATTTTGGGCAGACTTAAATTAAATCTTAAGTTTTAAATATTGCAAATTATGAGGTAAGTTGGTATTATGGCTAAGTGACTAAATACTAGTTTGTGAGTTTAGCAATGTGAATGCTTTTGTTTTGGCACTATACATAGTTTCAGTATTGGAGTATCACAGGCCAACTTATGATTAGTTAAGATTCATTGTTTTGAGATTGAGATTGATATTTCTGTTTATGGTCAAATGGGTGAGTGAGTGTAAGTGTGAACCACCAGGTGGTATTCGAATAATTAGTTGACAGGGTGTATCAGAAAGATAAGATGTTTTCTGATGGTTAGTTTTGAAGTGATGAATGTGTCTGCAGTTTTAGAATTTTCAGGTAGGGTGTTCCAGATTTTAGGGCCTTTGACATACATTGAATGTTTGTAAAGGTTTAGTCGGACACGGGGAATGTCATAGAGATGTTTGTGTCTGGTGTTGTGCCTGTGGGTTCTGTCACAACTATCAAGAAAGCATTTAGGTCAAGGTTAATATTGGAATTTAGGTCCTGTAGATGTAGATTGCACAGTAGTAAGTGTGGATGTACTGAACAGGGAGTAAGTTTAGATCTATGAAGAGTGGGGGAGGGGTGTTGCCAGGGATGGGATTTAGTGATTATTCTTACTGCGGCTTTTTGTTGGGTTATTATTGGCTTTAGGTGTGTTGCTGCAGTTGAACCCCAAGCACAGATAGCATAGGTGAGGTATGGATACATAAGTGAATGGTATAGTGTGAGAAGGGCAGTTTGCGGCACATAGTATCGTATCTTGGAGAGGATCCCAACTGTTTTGGATACTTTTTTGGTTATGTGTTGGATATGGGTGCTGAAGTTCAGGTTGTTGTCGAGGTATAGGCCTAGGAATTTGCCCTCATTATGCCTGGCAATTAGAGTGTTGTCAATCTTAATGTTAATTTGCGCATCTCCTGCTCTGCTACCAAACATAATGTAGTAGGTTTTGTCAGCGTTAAGCGTAAGTTTATTGGCTGTATCCAAATCGATATTTTGATCAGCTCCTCATTAACAATGGTGTTGAGGGTGGCAAGATTTTGGGGGGTGAAAAA